TTCACCTTTCCCACTGGCATAAAAAGCTGGTCTGACCCCTCGCTGGCAGCTGCGTGGCCTCGGTCCTCCTGCAGCCATGTCTGGTGACATCATATCGCTGGGTTAGTTTTGATGATGTCACCGGTGCGACAGAAATCAGGAAAGTAAACAATGGAGAGCAACATGTGTGGAGTTACACGCAGCTGTGGGGGGAAATAGGCCACGCAGCTGCCATTGACGTGTTAAGCCTGGTTTATGCTCAGAAACCAGGTCGTCTGAGTATGTGTCATAGTCAACGCAGATAGGCCTCCCCCCTTCCACAGGCACTTTGGTGCACCTCTCCAAAACTCCTGTTTGGTACCTAATGGCAGAAACTCTGGTTATAGTGCCCTCCACAGCGCCTGGCACACCTGGGACACTATCCCAGACACCATACAGGACTCTAATCTGTAGCTCTGTGCGACGGTCCGTTGGTTTGCTCCCGAAGCTAAAACACTCTTTGTTACGGTTGGTCTTTCGGGACACTAACAGGTGAACTGTGTGTCGACGGCAAACAAGCTCTTCAAACCGCCACACAGACACCTACAATCTTGCGTTATGGCGAGGAATAACATAGCGCAGACCAGCTTCAAAATTGGGCATAAATCAAAAATATCTGCATCATACCTGCGACAAGCTCACTGCGACACACTGCTGCGGGAGGATAACCAGCCCTTTACTCCCAGCTTTTTTTGCCAGAGGGAAGGGACCAAAATGCCGATTGTTAGCGGGTCGTCCCATGTTTGAAAAACATGCGTTAACCTGGTATTATCAGTGGGAAAGAGGCTCTACAGGACGACACAAGGTCAGCCCCTAAATGCTTTTATGAAAATAAAGTAAAGGTTTCTGGCCTAGTCAAAGTCTGGATTAAATCTGAGGTGTAGTGCTGTGACCCCAAACAATAAGCTACTACTTACAAAAACCTTCTTGGTGGCGGAAACAAAACAATACTGCAAAGAAGAGCTCGCCAAAATCCCCACAGCGGTGAAAAAAAAATCTATATCCGTAAATCCTAAACAGGGAAGGGAGGATTTTATTCTTAATAAATGCCATCGCTATTAAAAAGCTGCTTTTTGTTTAAACCAGTAATCTTTGATGCTGAAAAGTGTTGATAAAAGTTCATATAAGGTTTGGATTTAAAAAAAAAAAATCCCCAACTAAATAATTAGTCAGTAGAGACTTGCTTTAGTAAGTTTAGTGTATAGAAAAAGAAAGAACAGAAAAAGGTAAAACAGGCCAAATAATTCAAAAGTCTGTCTTTGCTCTGACAGCTTAGAGGAGATTTCCATGGAGAAAGGTAATTAAATGCCGTTTCTCTCCTTCCTTTCACAGTAAAAAAGCCTGAAGCTGCAACCCTCGCCTCCATGATGCTCTACATAGTCTGCTGTAGCGCAGAGGTAGCCAATTAGCCTAAAGTGAGTAAAATGACAATGTGCTGCTGAATAAAATTAGATGTGTCATTTATCACAATGTTCTACACTCGTCAATTACAGCCAATAAATGTGCTCCTGCAGAGTCCTGCTGGTTTCTGTCCATTTAGGAAGACAGCTCAGGGTAATAAAAAGCTTTTCAAATGTCAGGAGCTCCTTTTGCTTTCATGTGGGAGGAGCCGACTGAAAAACAAAAGACTAAGAGGTTGGAAACAGGCAGGACTAAAAGCAGAGGACAGGTTGAAAGAGACACACCGGATGTGAGAGAGGTATAGCTGCATAATCTGAAAAAGAGAACAGGAAGCTGGGCAGATGAGGAGGTGATGTGCAACCAGTGAATAAAGGAAGCACACATACACACACACATTTAGGTAATAAACGTTTAAATGCTTATGAATACATTTAAGCATTACTGTAACAAAGCAGGTTTTAGGTGATCGCATTTTTTTTAAGTCTGGCGTGGAATAATATAGCGCAGACCAAGCTTCAATTTGGAGCATAAATCAAAAATATCTGCATCATGCCTGAGAGAAGCTCACTGCGACATGATAAGCAGCCCTTTAGGTGTTCAGGCTGACATATAACTAACTGGCCTGCATAAGATAATAAAAAAAAACCCACAGGAATTATTTTTTTAATACAAATTTTCTAACTTTTGGGACAATATGGTTGATAAAGAGTTAATTTATATAAATTTTTAAGCCAGAATCATTTGACATTTAAATATGACTTCCCAACGACTTTAAAGGTTTTGCTGTGAAATCCCAGCTTGTTTTTAAGCCCCCATCTTGTTTCCCTTCACTTAACTTTCTAGAGACGCCCCTGATGAGAAGTTCAGCTCTATGAAATAAAAACAGCACATACCACTGGTAGCGGCTCCCAGCTGAAGGAGCAGAAGCGCAGAAAGAGTCATCCAGAGTTTGGCCTCCATCATCATCATCATCATCAGAAGGACAGCGGCCGTAAAGTATCGTTTCCTGTCAAATGTCAGGACTTCCTCCTCTGCCGGCTTGGCGGTGCGATGGGAAGCTTTCTGTTGGTAAATGATATGTGCGGAGGGCTGGGCTGCGTGTTGTCAGCAGCAGCAGCAGCTTCAGTGGACAGGAGGAAGTGAGGAGGATCTAAGCTGCCGCCCGCTGCTCGCAGCGCGCGCTCTGCCCAGCAGCAGTGCCACGTGTTCCCTGTTAGAGTCTGCTGCTGGTTGGAGGAGCGATCACTCCGGCTGATCGATGGTTTCACAAAGTTTAACAACTTTTTATCATAACAGAGCCTCTTCTCCAGTAGCCTAACTTATTTCCAGCTCTCTTTCTTAATTTCTACTGGTCCGATTCAGCGGTGACATTAAAAAAAATAAACAAACTATCGTGACTTACACTTTTACTTATCATTTATAGAAATATTTAAGATAATTCATCTTTTAGTTTTAAATCAATATTCAGATGTATTCTGTGCTCAGGTTCTATTTTTTCTTGTGTTTATCTTTCTTAGAAATAACTGGTTTCTACCAACTATAATGGTAAAATCTTTCTTTTCATGGGGTTTTCCCACAGAGGATGCGATGGGTAATAAAGAAACAAAAATGTATTACTCCATCAGTGGTTAAATAAAAATGTGAAGGCAAGAAACGCTTATTTTCATTTCCTTTCTAAACATCTGAAAAATGTTTTCCCCAGAGAGATGCTTGGTTTTTTTAAGTGGAAGTTCCCACAATAGGCAGCCACACTGGACTGTTATAAGACTGAGGTTAATAAAATGTTCCCATCTTGGCTGTTTCTACACTTCAGTCATATGTTTACGATTACTATTAAAACTTACACATTGCCCCCTTTTTGTAGTCTACCTCTGCATTTCCAGAAGTTTTTGCAAAGATCAGGGATGTCAAACTGGTTCCAGAAAGGGCCATAGCTGCAGGTTTTCTTTCCAACCAAGCAGTATCACAGCAGACTCCAGTCAGCTAATTAAATGAGTCCAGTCTGAACATGAGGACTTGATGGTTGGCCCTTTGGCACCCTAGTTTGACACCCTTGGCATATATGATAAAAGAAAACAACTGAAAGATGTTTTATGTTAGATATTTAATCAGAAATCAGAATCAGAAACACTTTAATAATCCCAGAGAGAAACTACTTTAAAGGCATAACAATAAGTATGTTTTGGGGTGATTTTGGAAGAAGGGGTGTCATTGCATCAGACAGGTTAATAGCTAATTGACATCATGGTTGAAAGAGTTATGGACCTCCAAAAGTCTGGTTTCTCTTCAGGTGAAGTTTTAAGAAGCCTGAACGCCTCACGGGCAGGTAAAGATTTCTGAACCACTGAATCTATCTGGCGACATCTGCTGGCCATTTTTTACCATTACGTTTACATACAACTACGTAAAATGTCACGAAACTGGCTTCGTTATTATTCCCAATGTGTATCTTACCGTTTTTCTCCTTTAAATACATTAACAGAATAATTCTGTTTGTACCATAATTTAATACTGCAAGTAATAAATATATGCTTTGGAAGTTTTACTTAGAATACAAAAGTATGCAGAAATACACCAGATGAGACAAAATAATGAGTTATGTCAATAGTTGAGCTGTTAAATTTAGGGAATAGTTTCCGATGATTTAATCTTCAATCTGTTCTAATGTTTCCTTTTCTCCAGCTTTACATTTTCATCTTCTACAGAAGCAACTTCTACATGAAGATTTCTGCCGGGCAGCTTCTAAAGATTATAGGCGCTTAAAACTTTCGAATTACTCTTTTTTTTTCTTTGATTGAGCGTTCATTTCACTGAAATCCTTAATTATTATTTATATATATTTTTTTATACATCCAGTACCTGTAGTACACACTTCATAGCAGAAGGGGGCGCTACAATTTTACGGGGAAGAAAGTAACCTTACAGAGTGCCGTAGTGCGTCAGCAGAAAGGAATTATGGGTATTGTTGTTCGTTAGTTAATCGAAGTAAATTAATAGGGAGGAAAATAATGATAAATATGAAGGACGTGGAGAAAAATAAAATATAGAACACGTACTGATGAACTGTAAAACTTATGAACATGAAAGTGAGAAGTTGAAAAGAATGGTTGGAAGGACAGGCAAAGAATGGAGTCTTAAAGCAATATTGGGAAATGCTGATGAAGATTCTCAGTCATCCAAGTCATTTGAATTGAGAAAGCTTCCTGGAGAGGTGGCGAAACATCTTCAAATCTTCGAAACCAAGTCCAGTGGATATTTTTTGAATGCTATAAATGCTATTTGCAGATTAAGGAAAGCATTTTTTTTATTTATCTTCAGAATACAAAATAAAAAATAGAATTTGATAGACGTAAAGTAATGTTGCTACACACTCATGTACAGTAGGTGGCGGTATGCATCTTAGGAGGAAGCTAGTCGAAGTAAAAAAGGCAGATAAAAAGCCTCTTGGTATTGACACATCGCTAATTATTTATTTTTTTAATTTTTTGCTTTTTTTCTAATTGTTTATGATTTTACTCATTGTGTTGCAAAAAAATAAAGCGGAAACGAGGCTGTTTCTCAGTGTGTCTCGCAAAGAACACAAAATCCCAGAAGTCCAAGCGGGTCGTTACCAACGCAACAATGGCGGCTCCCTCTGTTAGTGTGCAGGGTGTTATAGAACCATTAAACAGCTGTTTAACTAAACTAGGCTTTGAGGTTTACCCTCTAAAGGTAGGACAGCGTTGTTAAAAGTCCTAAATATTGAATCGGTTTCTGAGATAAATATAAATGTTTGTCTTTCTCATTATTATTGATTGTTTAACATGTTCAGCTTGTATTTGTTGTACCTTTGTGGCTCTGTGTGTACAGGTTGGCTGGTATAACTCTGTGCTGTCTCCTTCCTTCCACCTCCCTTACCATGATGAGACCCTGGCTGTGGTGGTGCTCAGCACTCCTGCCATGTTTGATCAGGCCTTCCTGCCCTTCCTGGAGCAGAGGGGCGTTCAAAGGCCCAGTGACCCCATAGACCAATGTGTGCAGCACTGTGTCTCCACTGCTGTTCAACGAGTAAGAGAAGAAGTAAGCAACCCTGGCAAAGATTTTGTAGAGGCAATGATGCATTTTTTTGTCTTGTCTCTAAGGGTAGGGTGCATGTGTTAGAGGTACGTATGGGCATGTGTGGGTGGAGATGTAAGTGGGTGTTGGCATGTGTCTGGAGCTGAATGATTGTCTAATAAATATCACCTGGATCTATTCTGGGGTTGTTTTGTTTGTTTGATTCAAAGAGAGGCTAAGGCTGGGTGCCAATATTTCTGTTGACTGCAAGTTTAAAGCTAAATAAGTCTGCAAGTCTACCTATTGTACAATGCTTCACAGAAAGAAAGGGTACAATAAACATCCCTAACTGCAGTAAAGCTTTAGGTTTCCTCCTTGGATTCAGCGCGATGAACAGATCCCTGCTCTCCTCTCTGTGACTAATTTTTGGATGATAGTCACTTACAGATATGGTCATATGTTTATTATATAATTTTAGATAGTGTGACATATTATTACAGAAACAGAAATTTTATGTAAATCCAACTGTAAGGCTCACAGGCTGGTAGTGAGTCGTGTCTTTGTGGTGTGAGCAGCTAATTCAGCACAAGCGCTGTTGACTTGTGAAATTATTCACTCTCCTTGAACCTTTACGAGTTTGCATTATCACAAAAAAATAGCTTGGAACAAAAGCATTTCTACAGCATGATGCAACCATTACCATGCTTCCCCTGTTGGGGTGATCTGTTCAGGGTGGTGTGTAGTGTTAGTTTTCCATCATGCATACATTTTTTTTTAAGTAGCTCACATATTTGAAATGAAGTGTCCTCTAAACAATGTTTGCGAAAAATTAAAATTGTATTTTTTTTTATTTTTCAATCACTTTTGTAATTTTATTTAAATTCTCCTGAGCATTTAGATGTTTCACTTTGGGTTTTCATTGTTTTCATGCCATTCAAAGCTTAATTGTCCATGGTTTGTTGTCACAGGACCTACCTTTGTATGCAAACATTCTTACTTCTTTCACACATGGTTCTGCATACTAGCTGCAACTCGTTCTTTCCTTCTGTTTGGCAGCAATTCCACTTTAAGCATATTACCGCCACCTGAAGGGTTAGAGGATTACACTTAACTCTTGTTAAGTGTAATGTGACCTAAACTGAGTGCATCCGCCATTTAAACGTAGCTTTATGTTAAATTGCAGGTGTATAGAAATTGCCCAGCCCTGGAACAGAGCACCGTCTCTCACATGGGCTGTGGTGCCATGAAAGTAAAACTTCTTTCTGCTTTTTTCTTCTCCTCCTCCAAATATACCAAATCTGTAAAGTGTAGAACTTGTAGATGTTCTACTGACAGTTCCTCCTACCTGTTACCAGTTTGATGTTGGATTAAACTGAGCTTAAATGTTCTAAACTTGGGATGTTTTCTTATAATCTAGGCCTGTCTTAAACATCGCCAAAGCCTTTTACCCGATATTTATATTTATTTACATGTTTTAAACTGTCCTAATTTGATCCTTTTTTTATTCAAAAGTAAATAATTTCTATTGAATATTATAGTTTCATATAAATCAGGTGAGTTTAACATTTAGCACACAGGTGAGCAAACAGTAGTAGAGATGTTGTGTTCATTAATATTCTCTATCAAACCTCTCAGGCCTTCAAACAACAGCTGAATTATATTCTAAAATTAAATTAAAACTGATTAGCTGCTTCTGAAGGCAGTTGGTTGCTCTGGATTTTATTTACTGGTATCAAACTGAAAGAGGCTGGCTATGAATGTTCTCTTTTCACATCATTTAAAACAATCCGTCATAATCTGATGAACAGATATGCATTTGTTTATGTCTTTGCCTAAAATTCCATTAAAATACAGTAAAGTTTATGGTTAAAATTAGGCAAAACTGGGTAAGTTTTAAGTGTGAATGCATTTAGCTCTATATACAGATGAAAGTCTCATAGCTCCATGCTGATTGTGTGTGGAATGTAGGGTCGAAACAATTAACATGATTATTGGTTATTGAAATAGTCGTCAACTCATTCAGCAATCGATTCATCATTACTGCAGTGTGGAGACTCTAAAGTGTGTCTTTGGCTGACAGAGTGACCCACTTAGAGCAGCAATTATACCAAGATTGTGTAAAAAAAAAAAAAAAAAAAAAAAAATGAGGAAACCTTTTGCATTTATGATTTAAAAAAAAACATTTCCGCTGTCAATCTGCTCTATCCAGAACTCCTCAAATGGAAAAGTTTTAGTTTCACCTGGTTTAATTTCATAAAAAATCTTTAAGGAACCTTTTGCTATCTGAGTTATTAATTGAAAACTAATTGACAGATGAATTGATTTGCAAAATAAACGTTTGTTGCAGCCCTGGTGGAATGGGACCTGCTGTAGCTCTCATGGGATCTCAAGGATGTGCAGAGAAGTTGTGGCACAAGTCAGAATATTGTTGCGTTAATGTTTTAACTTGTCCTTTTTCATTCCTTTTAGGAAAGCAGAACTTTCCCCTTCCAGTTCTCTGAGCTGTTATCTGAAAGGTTGTCTTCTGTGTGTTAAAGATGACCTTTCCTCTCTGGGTTTGAGTCTGTAGGGTCCATGTGGGATGAATGTTCGGTCTAAGATGTTCCATCATGTCTGTTCGCTCTGCTTAAATCTGGTCCATTTGGTAGACTTAAACGTTGTCTCTTTCTCTCCCTCAGACTTCTCCAGAGCTGAAGGTGGATGTGAGGTACGACTACGAGCTGCTGCCCAGCAGGAAGCCAAAGTTCTTAGCGCAGACTGCTGCACACGTATCTGGAGCTGCGTTCTACTACCAACAGTCTGTCGTCACAGACCAGCCCTGGGCTGGAAAAGTAAGGCTGTTTGTTGGTCCAAACTCATTGGTTTCTCCACTGGATCATTTATCGTAGCTGTTCCTCCAACTGGCTTTCATTAAACCCGTTTGCTCAGCAGAAGATGTTTGGAGTGTGCATCCATCCGAGGTTGGGGGGCTGGTTCGCTATAAGAGCCCTGCTGGTGTTTGAAGGAGTGACGGTTGGGTCTGAGCTGGTGCAGCCCGCTCCTCCAGACTGCGTTCCTTCCAGAGAGGACAGGATCAAGCTGCTGGAGGCGTTCAACTTCCACTGGCAGGTAAACCACTCAACTTTTAGACAAACAAGGGAAACAGCAGACATGTAAGAGATTTAAGAACTTTCTGTAACAATTTCAGCTCCTTTGTGCTTCAGAAGCTGAGAATAAAGTCTTTAATAGAGCTGAAACAATCAGATTAACCGATTATTAAAATAATCGTCAACTAATTTAGTAATCGATTAATCATTAACTGTGTAGAGACTATAAAACATGTCTTTAGCTGACAGAGTGACCCACTTAGAGCAGAAATTATTACAAAAATGTATATAAACATTTTGCATTTAAGATAAACTTTGTTCTCTGTCAATACTCTCTATTCAGAATTCCTCAAGTGGAAAAGATTTAGCTTCACCGGGTTTAATTTTGTAAAACGTCTTCTTTAAGGAACCTTTGGCTATTCGATTATTAATCAATTTATTGAAAAAGGAATCAACAGATTAATTGATTTGCAAATGAATTGTTAGTTGCAGTCCTAGTCTTTAATTCAAGATACGTTTTTATATTTAAACATAACCTCTTTTTGAAAGAATGTAAAGTTTTTAAGCTATATGAGTCTAATGGATGATTAACCATTTAACAAGTGTATAATCCCTGACTGAGATGATGTAAATGATGTAATCTGTTAGATTTGCTCTCTGCTCAGATTATTTAACATTTTATTTATGATGACATTTTCCTGGTTTTGTCTCCAGGACTGGAGCTACAGAGACATCATCCCCTCTGAGCAGATCTACTCAGAGAGACAGAAGGAGTACTTCTCCACCCCCCCTGCCCAGCGTCTCACCCTGCTCACCACTTGGGGCTTCTTCCCAAAAGACGATGCTCAACCTAATCTCAGCCCGCACACACAGAGCCAGGCGAACGGACATGGCTGACACCCTGGACTCATTCTGGTCCCTTAACCTCGGCCGCTTGATCACATCCGACATGTTTTCAGTTTTCAGTTTTAGGCCGGTGTTTGTTTTTAGCTGCTGATACTCCGTTAAAAGTCATTTTAAGCCAAAGCGAAGATATTTTTCTAATCAAGTGAAACAGTATGCTCAGGTACTAGGAAACATTGTCAGTTTAGGGCCCCCTGCTGGCCAGGGGCCCCACATAGAAAATATAAATTCAGCTGACAATTGCATCTGATTTATGCAGGCAAAGAATAAGAGCCGATAGATAAACGGCCATCAAACCATGCACTATGTAAACTGTTGTGAGTAAAAATCTTTATTCTGCAGTTTCCTCTGAAACAACAATAAGCTCGACTTCTTCACTACTTGAGACTCTTTATTAAAGCCTAAACACCAGATAGAAGCCAGTAGGATTGGCTAAAGGCTGCGCTTCCCACTGTCTGCCACTGGTTCCTCAAAGGGTTAAAAATCATATTTTTGTGGGAGTCCTGTTTTTTTCCAACTGAAAACTCTTAAGAAAATATTTCTGTAACAGCTAAAGAAATATGAAAACACTTGTTCAATCAAGTGAGGTATATGAGAGGCCCCAAACCAAACCCTGCTCAGATCTTCATGGAACCTTTATTTAAGTCTGAGTGGCCCCATGACTCCTCGGCAGAACATTGATAATCAACTATGGTGGCAGTCAAATGTTTAGAGTAGATCTTGAATCTCAAACAGCCTCAGGATCTAACTAGTCCTCCAATGATGAGCCAAACATAACCTCCTCAGGGCGTTCCAGTGTGAGACGAGTTTGACAGCTGAGGATGGACTCAAACTGGGTCAGAAACGGAGCAATGATCCCACACAGGACAGGAAATCAACTCGCTGTAACAGCCTAGTGAAAAAACTCGAATCAACCGTGAATTAGATCCTGCTGACCCTGCGGAGCCCGAACGTCCAACCTCCAACCAACCCCACCGTGGTCAGAATCCTCCTACTTTACCTTGAAAATAAAAACTCTTGGTAGATTTGTTTATTACAAGGAATAGTTGCATTTACGTCTAAGATATCCCAAAATATATTTTTTTTGTAAAAATATACTTGCATCTATGCAGTTCTTTTCAACAGCCGGACAGCATTTTTCCTTTCACTAAATGAGTTCTGGGAAGCCACTCTGTTCCAAGTCAGCTCCCGACCTCAATCGGTCTGAATGGATCATTTTAAGGGTTGGAGGACCAAGGGTGCAGGTTTGATATTAACTTTGGTACGGACACCATTGGTCTGATGTCATTGTTCCTATGCAAAAATATGCATTGTCGTTTTTGTATGCTTGACGTGAAAATCAGGGTGTATTTTGTTTAAAGAGAAAATCAAAATTTCTTGCAACATTAATACAAATTTTATAAGCGTTACACACACTAGATGCTGTTTATCAATGTTTGAAGCATCACTGGCTCTGATGAATGTGGAATTAGGACTTTTTTCCTCTTTGAAAAGGTTTGCATTTGAAATTACCAGCAACTAAGACAGAAGGTAAATCTGTGCCTATTTAACAAAGTATAGTCTAGATATGTCTGTTATATGTGGATTTATCCTATTATTTCTTTTGAGGATATAGAATTGTGCAGAGGTAAACAGAGCTTAAACCCACTCTTATCTTTTAAATATTCTCTCTGTATCATGAAACAAATCAAAATAGAAGATTCAAGGGACACCAAACTTCAATAGATTCAAGGGACACCCACTTACAGCATGAATTATACCAAAATTGTAAAAAATATATAGAAACATTTTGCATTTTAGATCAAAAATGTTTTCGTCTGTCAATGTCCTCCATTCAGAACTCCTCTACTGCTGCAACAAAGCTGTATTGGAAATTATAAACATGTTATTCACATCTAATTGTTGGTAGGGACAAGTAGGTCGGTCCAAAATGTTGGTAGGGACATGTCCCTATGGTCCCTATGCAAACCTACGCCCATGTGGAGGGCACTTCGCCCCAGCTCTTATAACTATTGGGACACACTAACCTTACATATGAAAGTGCAAAACCGTGTGCTAGTGAGAGAAATGGAACTGGGCTTAAGTCCCAAACTCAGCCTTACTGAAATGTAGTGATTGGGTCTTAAGTGAGCCACACAGAAAACAAGTCTCCAAAAACTAAAGCTCTTTAAAGGAACAGTAAGCAATAAATCCTTATTAATTATACATCAGTATAAAATGTGAGTTATTACTTTGTCCTGAAATCCATAAGTATTCCAGACCCCAAATACTGTAGTGATTCCTTGTAAAAAACTGTCCTCATTAAATCAAACCTTTACTTCTGTAATAAACGGAGCAGGAAGGCAAGGTGAGGCTTTTAGTTTCCAACCTCAGATGACACAGAGCGTACCTGCAACAATGAAACATGATCTGATATCAAGGCTATTATTGTATTAATAAACAGTTAATACAGCAAATACATGGTAGGTTTGATCATTTTTTCTTTCATCTCCATGGAGTTTAGTAACAGTTGCCACCAAAAAGAAACTTGAATAATGTTTAAAATAGGTCAAAACTATTGTTGTGAGGAGAAATAAAACTGCTGTGTAATAGTAAAGAAGTAGTGCAGCCTTTCATTGATCTCACTCCTGTATTGTCTCAGGTTTAACTGACAGTTTGATGCATTATAGATGAGCTCTCGCTTTGGTCCTCCAGGCTGATGACAGACTGACGACTCTAAACTGTGACTAACCCTCTACTCTGCTGCCAACAGGGAAACAATTTGGCTTTAAGTCTCAAACATGCAGTTTTTCAGCTCCATCAGCGGATCGGGTTATTAACAGATGCTTTAAGGCTTCCCCCTCTGGACTGTATGGATGTCTGGATGGTGGTCCTCAGCTGCAGTCAGTTTCATGCTTACACCTCTAGGTGTCAGTGTTGTCTTCTTTTGTTGCAGGCTTGGAGTTAGTTCTGCTCTTTCTGAAGCATCTGGAAAATGTTCAATGCTTGATGAAGTCCGGGACAGACTGCAGATAACCTGCCATGCACTTTATAGCAAGGTTTACAGCTTCAACGCTGCGGCTCTCTAACTAGGTCTCCTTCAACAGATAATTTACACACAGCTTTTATTTTTAAGGTCTGTGGCTCTTTATTGCAACACTTTCTTCTACTCCTTAGTGCCTCATTGCATCTCTTTTTGTTCTCCCCTCCTTCTGTCTCCTGTACTGCTGGATCTGTGTACTGAATCAGCATTTTAGAGCAGTGTGCCGCAGGCCTGCAGAGAGCCAGACCATGGACTTAATTAAATTCCCAAATACCTCCTTCTTTGCCCCATCCAGCTTCTTTTCCCCCTTCTTCTATCTCCTTATTCTGTCTATATCTGGAGCTGCAGTTTGATGCAAACCTTAACATTTCCTTCATAAAAAATAAACTACAATGCACTCAATTTCATTTTTTATTTGTGGCTTTATTGGTCATAAATAAAGGTTTAATTTGAAAGTTACAGCTGTCGCACCTCTAAACCCAAACTTCTGACTTTTATTTATTACATTTAGAGCAAGAGAGATATTCTAAAGTTTTTCCTTTATATTCTTTTCTTGTCTTTCATGCATTTGGATGTTTTGAACAGAGAAGGAGTTGTTTTATGTAGTTTAAACACTTAAGTTTGATGTGTTATACAATACAGATGAGGATAAGAGACTTAAGTGCCACATTAACTTTAAATATTTTTTCTTTTCGGATCAGAACCATAAACAGCAATGCATTCAGCATTACGTTGTTATGTCATGTCACTTTATGTGACAGACCAACACAAAGTAGTGCATAAGAATCGGGTGGATTTAAGAAATTTGGGGCCCAAGGCAAAGACAGGCAGGGGCCCCTCTGAATTTAGAAGACAACACATACAGGTGCTGGTCATAAAATTAGAATATCATGAAAAAGTAGATTGATTTCAGTAATTCCATTTAAAAAGTGAAACTTGTATATTATATTCATACATTACATACAAACTCATATATTTCAGATGTTTATTTTGTTTAATTTTGATGATTACAAATGACAACAAATGAAAATCTCAAATTCATCATATCAGAAAATTAGAATATTGTGAAAAGGTTCAAAATTGATGGCCCCTGGTGCCACACTCTAATCAGCTAATTAACTCAAACCACCTGCAAAAGCCTTTAAATGGTCTTTCAGTCTAGTTCTATAGGCTACACAATCATGGGGAAGACTGCTGACTTTACAGTTGTCCAAAAGACGACCATCGACACCTTGCACAAGGAGGGCAAGACACAAAAGGTCATCGCTAAAGAGGCTGGCTGTTCACAGAGCTCAGTGTCCAAGCACATTAATAGAGAGGCGAAGGGAAGGAAAAGATGTGGTCGAAAAAAGTGTACAAGCAAGAGAGATAACCGCACCCTGGAGAGGATTGTGAAACAAAACCCATTCAAAAATGTGGGGGAGATTCACAAAGAGTGGACTGCAGCTGGAGTGAGTGCTTCAAGAACCACCACACACAGACGTATGAAAGACATGGGTTTCTGCTGTCGCATTCCTTGTGTCAAGCCACTCTTGAACCACAGACAGCGTCAGAAGCGTCTTGCCTGGGCTAAAGAGAAACAGGACTGGACTGCTGGTGAGTGGTCCAAAGTCATGTTCTCTGATGAAAGTAAATTTTGCATTTCCTTTGGAAATCAAGGTCCCAGAGTCTGGAGGAAAAGAAGAGAGGCACTTCATCCACGTTGCTTGAAGTCCAGTGTAAAGTTTCCACAGTCAGTGATGGTTTGGGGTGCCATGTCATCTGCTGGTGTTGGTCCATTGTGTTTTCTGAGGTCCAGGGTCAACGCAGCCACATACCAGGAAGTTTTAGAGCACTTCATGCTTCCTGCAGCTGACCAACTTTTTGGAGATGCAGATTTCATTTTCCAACAGGACTTGGCACCTGCACACAGTGCCAAAGCTACCAGTACCTGGTTGAAGGACCATGGTATCCCTGTTCTTAATTGGCCAGCAAACTCTCCTGACCTTAACCCCATAGAAAATCTATGGGGTATTGTGAAGAAGAAGATGCAATACACCAGACCCAACAATTCAGAAGAGCTAAAAGCCACTATTAGAGCAACCTGGGCTATCATAACACCTGAGCAGTGCCACAGACTGATCGACTCCATGCCACGCCGCATTGCTGCAGTAATACAGGCCAAAGGAGGCCCAACTAAATACTGAGTGCTGTACATGCTCATACTTTTCATGTTCATACTTTTCAGTTGGCCAACATTTCTATAAATCCTTTGTTTTTATTGGTCTTCAGTAATATTCTAATTTTCTGATATGATGAATTTGAGATTTTCATTTGTTGTCATTTGTAATCATCAAAATTAAACAAAATAAACATCTG